TCCACACATAACAGCTCTTAATTACCATCCTGCCTATAGGGCATCAGTCTCTCTTCTCTGCCTCTCTCTCCAACTGTAAAACTCAAAAATTGAATTGCCAATTGCTTCTCTGGATGAATGTAAAAAGTCACATTAGATAGAGGTTTTGTTCAGCTTGGGTTTACATCAAGACCACCAGAAATCAGTAATTCTAAATTCTTGTCTCCCTCACCAATTGGTTCCTCCCCAGATTCCTGAGTCAGTAAATGTCATTGCCTTCGGCCAAGTAGCTCTTGACAGAAACCTGGAAGTCATTCTTGCTACTGCTTTCTCCTCCCACTCACATCTAATCTTGGCACCAAATGACTATGAGGAGACAGAGGCAGGTAGGCAGTGAAGGGCGGGACCACAGGATGGGAAGGATGAGACACGCGGGAAGTTTGAGATGACTTGGAGCTCAGCCCACAGGCAGGCAACCCAGTACACTCTACAGATCTCAAAATAAAACTAAAACCAGCAAGGCAGATTCTGCCCCCAAGGCCAGAAACTTCCAGCCCCCATTTATAGAAATGCAAATTTGAAGCACCTGCAAGAAACACCAGTTACACAACAAAAAACCCCAGAAAGGCTGGTTTCAAGCAAGACACAGGATTGCTGAATGAGTTCTGCTGGGAAACTGTATAGGAATGTGTTCCTATTGCAGAAAGCCAGGTTATGAGATTATGAGAAATCAAGGTTGGATTTGGGGACGAAACCAAAAGGAACCATAGGGTGGCTCCAAGGGCATTTCCCCTTCTCCTCACTAACAGCCTGGGAGAAGTTGAAATTGTCAAAAAAGGGAAGCTACTAAGGCTCCCACTGACAACCTAGGGCTAAACCCAGTCATCTGGGAAACACAAGCTTTAAAATGTATGGATGCTGCTAAGCAGAATTCCTTGAAAGAACCAATCAGGGGCTAGCAAAGCATTTATCTACCCATAGACAACAGAGCCCCATGGGCAACCCACTTAGGTCCCCTCCCTGTAGCGGGAGTCTGTCTCTCTCTCAAATAAACTTTCCTGTTGCTTACCCTTTGTCAGTGAACTCAGTCTTCGAATTTGTGAGGCAGTGAACCCAAACACTGCCACTTGGTTTCACTATTGGTTCAACCCATATAGTGTCTCAAATTGATTCACTTCTCTCCATTTCCACTGTCCCCATTTTAGGATGAATTACTTTATTTCTCATCCAGATAATTAAATAGTCTTCCAACTGAACTACCCACTTCTCTTCACATCTTTTCCATTCCATTGTCCTCTTGGCAGCCAGTGATGTCATTAAAATACTATTACATCACATCACTCCCTTGCTTAAAATACATCAATAATTTCTTGTTCCACTTAAGGTGAAGACCACCATCTTTAACACTGCATCGGGGGCCCTGACAGATCTGCCCCTACTAACCTAACCAATCTCATGTTATGTTGTGTTCCTTTGGTTGCAAGCAACAGAAACTGACTTTGTTAGTTTCAGGATAAGGATACAGGAAGCTATCAAGTATCAAGGGAAGACTGAGCAACCAAGACCTGTGCAGGTGAAGCAACCAGGTCCTCCCCTGGGAACCACAGCAGCAACCATGGATTTGCCTCTCTGGACTGCTGACATTTAATGTGATTAGTCTTGTCTCTGTGCTTCTCTCTTCTTCAGTGTTTCAAATGACCAGAAGAAAGAATCTGATTGGCTTGGCTTCTGTCAGATTTTTACCCTGAATCTATTATCTACCCTTGGATCTGTCTCCACAAAGGCAGGTCTGTTTTATTTACTACCATTTAGCCTTGCCAAGCATGGAGCAGTGTCATTAAATATTGAACTAATGACCATGTAATTGAATAAATGAACTGGTCATGGCCAGAAGACAGGGTCAGTTAATATGCACATGGCCAATGGGGGCTCACTTTGGGGTTTGGGGTTTATTTCCATGGTTGTGAGTGATTCACCTCAGGAGATAACCTGTGCTCTTCAGCCTCACCTTGCTCGACTTCCCCCCTTAACAGCAGCCTTTGGCCTTCTTTCATTCCTGGGAACTGCTAAGCTCTCCCCAAACTCAGTCTTTGCATATATGCCTGATGCGTTCTTATGCACTGTGCTCATTACAGATTTATTGCCTCTCAGCTCCCAATATATCTTTTATGCTTGTTTTGTGAAAATATCTCTCTCTGGGTCCTTTAAATACTACATTTTTCCTTTGTCAGCAGGCAAAATGTTTAAGCTTTGTCAGTAGAGGGAACTAGAGAGACACTGCAGGAGGCAAAGGCCTTCCTGGTTCTGGTTTTCTTTCCTGGCAGGCTCCTGCAGCTTGGGCAGCTTCCCTGGCACCCTCTGGACAGTTTTGTAGCCAGTGCCTCCCTCCTTATCACGGGCAGTTTTCCCCAGTACCCTGGAGATATAGATTTCTGGCAGGTTCCAGAGGGTGGAGTTCCAGCAAGTTCACTGCTGTTGGACTACAGTGGCTTCCCTGCCATCCAGCCACCCTAGCCCTGGGCTTTCCTCCCACCCCACCAGCTCCGGATCTCTATCCCGGGGGCATGCCTTTTCTCTGCTACTCCTCTGTTCTTCCTTCTTACTAGCCAATCCACGGCGAATCCAATCCCCCCTTATAGTTAAAAATTCTTTGTATCAAATTTCCCTGTTCCAGTTCTTCTCTCCTCTGGTTGGACCCCCTGACTGATACACAACCCCACTCTACCTGGCTAATTTTATTCTTCCTTTAGGTGTTATAATATCATTTCCTCATAGAAGCCTTCTCTGACACCTCAGATCAAATCATATCCCTTTCCTTTTTATTCACAGCAACTTCCACAATTTTAAAATTCCTCATTTTTGTAATATGCTTTTGTCTTCCCCAGTAGATAATACATTCTAGGAGGGTAGTGATCATGTTTATTTATTGCTATAATCCCAGTGCCTATCATAGTGCCAGACCCAACAATGGGTCATTAAATGAAAAGGGGAGCAAATATTTAATGAGGTACTATTATATGTAAGTTGCTGGTAGCAATAAAAAAAAAAATAGAACTCAATTCCTGTTCACAGGGGGTTGGCAAATTTATGAGAAAATAAGACACATGCAAAAAACATAAAGCAGTAAAGAGAAGTTGCCAAAAGAATGACAGATTGTAAGTACTAGTAATTCAGAGGCAGTCAATAATTTTATTTTAAAAAATACTTTGTTTTTTACAAATATCCTGAGAAATGAATTTCTTCTTAGATAATTGGATTTTATCCATTATGTACAAGTGGAGAGGAAAATGGAACAAATGAGATCAGTTTTTTTATTTTACAAGATATTTTTGGGTAGATTCATAATGAGTTATTAATTTCTCTCAGAGGTTTTTAAAATGTAGCATATTTTACTTTTTTTATTCATGTAGGTTTCCTAAGGTAAAAATAACTATAAAATTGGAGAAAATTACTCATATTTCTTCTTTTCTGGGACAGGGTTTCTCTAGCCTTAAGCACTTTCTTTAATATGCATTGGTGAGGGCTGGCTATTATTTATCTCCATGATGAGACAGTCTTCTACAGGTAGATGGGTACTTTGACATAATCTTGGACCAATCACAGAATCATGTATTCTAGGGTTTGGAGTGGTTAATAGCATTCTGTCCAGTTTCTTCATCTGGAAATGAGGGGCTGGCTGTATTATATACTCTCAGATCCCTTTCAACTCTCTGAAGACATGCACACACTTGAGCCATCACCTGAACAATAATTCCTAGTGTCAAATGTACCCTGCTGAAAGCTCGTTGTTTAATTGTAAATATTATTTAAAATATACAGCAAAGTTTGTCATTTTGAGGTGTCAAATGCTTATTAGTTTTGACTTTTAGCCTACACATTGATTATATAATGCAACCTTCCTGGCCTGCAGCTTCCTGATTAAAGATAACATGGAACTGACGACACAGAATTAATACATGATCCCTGTCCCATATGTTTAGGGTGAACCAGAGGAAGAAACTGGTGTTACAAAGACCAGTTTAGAAAGGCATTGTGGTCAATCACTTATAAATCACAATACATCATTTTCCTATTTTTAGTATAAATAAATAAATAAAATACCTTCCATAAGAAATAAGGTAGAATGGAGATTATTCAAAATGCACTGTGTCAAACTGCAAAACGGAAAACACCGAATTAAAGATTTGTCTGAACCCAGGCTTGAAAACGGGGAATGCAAAGTGGCAGTCAGACTCATTGACTAGGGGCTTTGAAACTCACAGTTGAGAGGATGAACTTGACACACGGCGCTTTGAGGGAGGGGCTCGAGATGTACAACAATAAAAAGTGTTGCAAATGCAAAATGTTGGTCCTATTGGACGCGAGGCGGTTAAGGTACGTTAAGTGTGAGCTAGCCAGGGCAGATCAGATGTAAAACAAACCCAGCTGCCTAAGCTGAGATGTAGAACAGCGACACTCAACCACGTAGCCTGGGGGCTCTCCACCCAACGACCTCGGAGACGGATGGGCTACGAGGGGGCCGTCAGGCTCCCCATTTCTGACCGGATTATAATTAGGCATCCTCCTCACTACCAGACCAAACCGACAGTCCTCCCGCAGACCTCGGCTCTACCGAGTACAGATGCAGCGGAATAAAGAGGCGCTGGCAGGGAACCCCACGCTCCCCCCACCAGCCAGCGGCAGCCAACCATTTCCCAGCACTCGTGGAGAGAGCTGGCTTCCAATTGGGTCAGCGTGGGGCATGGACGTCTCCGATTGGTTTAAGGGAGGGGCGGGGAAGGGGCGTGTCCTGACGGCACACCCGCTCCTAACGTCTCCATGCCGCTCAGGATTATGGGAGGGAGGGGAAGTCCGAGAAGAAGGAATTATCCCGGAACGACCTTTGCCTGCCCGGGTCTGCACTCCTCCGGAGTCGGCGAGCCCTCGCACCAGCCCGGAGAGTCCGCCCCCACGCCGCGCCGGGGCCGGGGGATCAGGTGACCACTGGCCCGCGCGGTCACGTGGCCGGAGCGCGCCCGCCTGTTGTGGCCATGGCGGCCGCAGGCTCCAGTGTGGTGAGGCGAGTGGAGGAGCTCGGGGACCTCGCTCAGGCCCACATACAGCAGCTCAGCGAGGCCGCTGGCGAGGACGGTGAGGAAGCGGAGGAGAGGGAGGCGGGCGGGCGGGCAGTGTGCAGAGCTGGCTCTGCAGCCCTGGGAGCCGGGGTGCGGCCTGTGGCCCGCGAGCGTCCCGTGCACGGGCGGTTGTCCACCCGCGGAACTCCCAGGGCCTTGAGCGGAGGCGTTGGCGTGGACGCCGCGACCTCCGCTCCCAGCCCCGTGCAGTCGGGGCTGCGTGCCTTTGAGTGGCTCGGTGGCGCCCGGGGAACGGGGCGGACTCGGGGTGCCAGTACCCGCGACAGTGGGCCTGGGCGGCTCATGCTGAAGGACTGCGCACAGGCAGTGATGGTTTTGCGTGGACAGAACTTGGCGAGTGGAGCAGTGACACTGGATTGCGACGTTGTCAATTCTGGGATTCGGCACCCAACTGTCACCTGTAATCTACGGAAGGGTCTTCGGTTGCCTTCGTTCGCTCGCTCGGTTCTTTCGCTGAACAGTTCCCGCAAGGGCTCTGTCGGGAGTAGATCACTTCTTTTGGAAATATCTTTTCTTAAACAAGAAACAAAGAAAAGCAGAGAATTGCCTCAACTTCTGGCTTTAAATCCATTCCTCCGCTGCCTATCGATTTTATGCATTTCTTTTTGAGTTTGGAGCTTTTGCTACAATACAGGTCGGTGTTTAAGTTCTTGCGGACTCACCGCGATCGCACTCATAGGAAAACAGAAATGGATTTACCCAAGTGATCGAGTAACTCGTTGGTGAAGGTATTGGATAGGGTCTGTGGTGAGATAGCTCTAGTTCTACTGAAGATTATTTGCCGAATTATTTTTTTCTTTGGCGTTTGTTCTTCAAAATCCATAGAATGCCCAGAAGCTGGACTTCTTTTACGGTTTGTGGTAGGTGAATCCCAGGATTCACATGAGGAGTTAGTTCATGGACAGTACTGGCTATTACCTGCAAGTGTGTCTAAATTACTTATAAATAAGCCATTCGGCCTCGCACAGTGGAAGTAAGCCTAGCCCATGAAGTTTATCCGAGGTTGAAACATGAATAAATAAATAAGCTATTCAGTGATCTCCATCTCCATTTAAAGCTGTCTAAAGAGGTCGAAGAATGTTTTTTATACTTACCACTGAGCCCAAAAGCCATTCGCAGTTTCCCGTGGAAGAGTTATTTAATCCAGTCTAAAATGAATGCTGGAAATAAAAGCCATGTGATATATATTTGTGTTTGGAGGCTTCATAGTTCTGAAAATGTACTAAAATTTAAATGATACTGGTGCATATTATAGTTATGAGTCAGTATTACTAGGGTGATTTTCTTATTTTATGAAGTGTAATTGAGATGTGGTTGCAGCCCCTGCCGGTTTGGTTCAGTAGTTAGAGTGTCCGCCCTCCCGCTGAAGGGTTGTGGATTTGATTTCTGATGGTGGGCACCTGGGTTGCAGGTTGCATTCCAGGCTCCAGGTGGGGGTTGTGCAGGAGGCAGCCAATAGATGTGTCTCTCTCACACCATGTTTCTCTCCCCCACCCTCCCTCTCTTCCATTGTATCTAAAAATCAATGGAAAAATATCCTTGGGTGACAATAAATAAATGCCAGAGATACAACCATATGCTGTCAAAAGGAGACTCATTAAACAAAAGATGTGGTTGCATGTATTTGACATTCTTTCCCCATACAACAAAAATAGTATATATTTAAAGTTTGTCCATGAATATAAAAACTCTCTATGTTAGGTTTTAGGGATTGATAGTTTCTATTGTCTTCTTCAAATTAGATCAGCTACAGCCAGATAGTATTCCAGTGAGGAATGTTCTCCTTTTCATTTTTCGTCTATTTTTGTTCATTTATTTTTCATTGTACAAACACAGTATGTTTACTGTATGGAATTATGCCATGAGAGAGACTTTTTTCAGGGATTATGTAAGAATCACTTTGTCAGTCGTTATTTTGACTGAATGGTTCTAGTATAAATACTGCATTTCATAAAAGTTTCCTAAAATGTGAGCTATTGGTCCTGGCTGAGTAGCTCAGTTGGTTAGAGTGTTGTCCTGATAAGCCAAGGTTGTGGGTACAATCCTGGTCAGGGCACATACAAGACTCAACTAATGAATGCATGGGTAAGTGGAACAATAGGTCAATGTTTCTCTCTCTCTCCTTTCCCTGCTCTTTAAAATCAATAACTAAATACAAAAAAATTTTTAAATAAATGAAATAAAATGTGAGCTATTGTTTCTTCACTCTTAGTAATCATGTCATAAGTTCATGTACATATATATATGTACTATTCCAGTAAAAGTTTTAAATTTTAAATTTATTAAACATTTTGAGTGCTTCAACATCATAAAAGAAGCAGAGACTACATTTAAGAAATGACAACTGGCCCGGCCGGTGTGGCTCAGTGGATTGAGCATGCTCCCATGGACTGAGAGGTCCCAGTTTGATTCCCGATCAGGGCACATACCTGGGTTTCAGGCTTGAGCCCCAGTGGGGGGAGGGGGGGGTGTAGGAGGCAGCTGATCAATGTTTCTCTCTCACATCGATGTTTCTATCTCTTTCTACCTTCTACTCTCTTAAACAAAAATCAATAGAAAAAACATATTAAAAAAGAAAAAAGAAATGACAACTGAACCTAGAAAGTTTTCATTCTAGTTTTTCAAAATAGATTTCCATGATAAATTAGCTTAATTAGGGTTATTATACTCGTTTTACACAAGATCTTAAGACTATCATGCTGCTTTTCCAGTGCCATAACACCATAACATAATTCTATTTAGTCATTTCAGAGACATAACTTTTATTCACTTTTTAAAAAATTTTTTATTAATCCTCTTCTGATGATATTTTTTCTATTTATCTTCAGATAGAGTGGGAGGGAGAGAAAGAGAGAGAGAGAAACATTGAAGTGAGAGACACACATCAACTAGTTGCCTCCTGCACAACCCCGACGAGGGCCGGTGACTAACTGCAACCGAGGTACGTGCCCTTGACCAGAATCCATCTGAGACTCTGGTCCGTGGGGCGACGCTCTCCCACTGAGCCAAACCAGTCAGGGCCAGATATATAACTTTTATTATTTTATTTATTTATTTAAATCCTCACCTGAGGATACTTTTCAATTGATTATTTTTAGGTAGAGTGGGAGGGAGGGAGAGAGAGAAACATAGATTGATTGACTCCCACACAATCCTGACAGGGGCTGGAGATCAAACTGAAACCGAGGTATGTGACCTTGACTGGGAATTGAGCCTGTGACTTTTTGGTCCGAGGGACGACGTTCTAACTGCTGTGCCAAACCGGCCAGAGCACATAGCTTATTATTTATTTATTTATTTATTTCAAATCTTTACTGTTGGATGTAAAATGTATTACAGATGTTCCACATTTTTCGCCCATTGACCCTCTCCTCCCCACTCCCCCCCCCCCCACCTTTTCCCACACTATTGTCTGTGTCCATTGGTTATGCATATAAGTTCTTTGGTTTATTTCTTCCCACCCCCCCCAACCCCTTTCCCTTTGAGGTTTGTCAGTCTAGCAATGAATTTGTACTTCTTAATCCCTTCACCTTTTTCACCCATTCCCCCAACCCCCCTCCCAACTGGCAACCAACAAAATGCTCTCTGTATCTATGAGAATGTTTCTGTTCTACCTGTTCATTTTGTTTGTAGATTCCATTGTTGATAGATGTGTATTCATTGCCATTTTGTTTGTTCATACATTTTATCTTTTTCTTCAAAAAGACCCTTCATCATTTCATATAATAACGGTTTGGTGGTGATGAACTCCTTTAACTTTTTCTTGTCTGGGAAAGTTTTTATATGTCCATCGATTCTAAATGACAGCTTTGCAGGATAGAGTAATCTTGGTTGTAGGTTCTTGGTTTTCATCACTCTGAATATTTCTTGCCACTCCCTTCGGTCCTGCAAAGTTTCTTATGAGAAATCAGCTGACAGCCTAATGGGAACTCCCTTGTAGGTAACTAGCTGCCTTTCTCTTGCTGTTTTTAAGATTCTCTCTTTGTCTTGAACCTTTTGCATTTTGATGATGATGTGTCTTGGTGTGGGCCTCTTGGGGTTCATCTTGTTTGGGACTCTGTGCTTCCTGGACTTGTATGTCTGTTTCCTTCACCAAGTTAGGAAAGTTTTCTGCCATTATTGTTTCAAACAGGTTTTCGATTTCTTGTTCTCTGTCTTCTCCTTCTGGCACCCCCAAGATGCGAATGTTGGCACGCTTGAAGTTGTCCCAGAGGCTCCTTACACTATCCTCATTTTTTTGGATTCTTTTTTCTTTTTGCTGTTCTGATTGGGTGTTTTTTGCGTCCTTATATTCCAAATCGATGGTTTGCTCCTTGGATTTACATACTCTATTATTGAATCTGTGTAAATTATTCTTTATTTCAGTTAATGCCTCCTTCAATTCTAACTGTGTATCCATGATTTCTAACTGGTCCTTTTTTATGCTCTTGAGGCCCTCCCTAAGTTCACTGAGGTTCTCACTAAGTTCATTGAGCATCCTGATAAGCAGTATTTTGAACTCAGTATCTGTTAGGTTGCTTATCTCTATTTCGCTTAGTTCTTTTCTTGGGGTTTTGTTCTGTTCTTTCATTTGGGACCTGTTTCTTTGTATCCTCATTTTGGCTGCCTCCCTGTGTTTGTTTCAGTGTATTACTTAATGAGAGGTATGGGGCTCGCTGAGACCCGATGCTGCTTGTTTGAAAGAATTTAGGAAAAACCTGAAGCAGGATCCAAGACCGGCCAATCCTATGGTTAAGCAACTGGCAACAGCTTGGGTGGGCCCGAAAGTTGGGCGGGGCGGGGCCTCAGGGAGTCACCAGGGCGGGGCTACCAGTGTGAGCCAGGTTGCTGGAGTCCCAGATATGGCTTCTGTCTGCCGCCCCAGGGAAGGGCTCACCAAAGGAACAAAGGCCTCTGACAGCACTTTTGTCCCCGAGAAAGCCCCCTCTCCAGCCCTCGCTCCAGTGCCAAACAGCTCAGTTCTTCCCTGTATGTCCTGGCGCCCCTCGAGCTGCCTCCCCTCCAAGCTTAGAAGGAGCGAGTCTGAGTAAGTCCGTGCGCGGGCCCTTTAAGGAGCTGCCTGGGGCTCCAGCCGCTTCAGCCTCCCTGAGCCTCAGTTCCCGCTGGTTTTTCCAGCCAGAAGTGATGGGGATTCTCTTCCTGGCACTGGAACCCTGAGCAGGGCGCCTGGTGTGGGGCGGGGACCCCTCAGTCCTCAGGGAGGACCTTCCCAGCCAAGGTGTCCTCCTGATTTTATCTGCCACACGTGGGTGTGGGCCCAGCCCATCCCCTCCGCCCTCCTACCAGTCTGGATGTGGCTGCTGCTTTAATTCCGTAGTTGTAGGACTTCATTCAGCTTGATTTCAGGCAGTTTTGAATGATGGTTGTTCTGTAGTTTAGTTGTAACTTTGACGTGGTTGTGGGAGGACGCAATACAGCGTTTACCTACCCGCCATCTTGACCGGAAGTCTAACTTATTTTTACATAACTGTCTGAAATTATGTAAAGTAATCACCATGTGTTTTATCTCTTACAGATCACTTTTTAATTCGGGCATCTGCAGCTCTAGAGAAATTGAAACTCTTATGTGGAGAAGACAAAAAATGTGCAAATCCATCAAATCTACTAGAACTTTACACACAGGTATTGAGACAGATGTGGTTTCTGACATGTTATGTGGCAGATCACTTAATTAGATGGTTGATTCCAATGTTTAGGTGTAACGTAGTCAGTTTATTCTCTGTTTGAAGTGTTTACTTTTGTTCAAAAACTGTATGTATAAAGCACATAGACTTGAAACTTTGAGGCAATATGCAAAAAAGATTTAGTAGATGTGTGTTGATAAGAAAAGTAAGGAATGCAGTCTTGCAGATAACAGAATTGCTTCCCATTATAGGTAAGTAAGCAAAACAGAACTATGTCTAATTTCCAAGGCCTTAACAGGTTATGCAGAGGAAATGGAGGATGCTTAAGAGCCCCAATTATTGTTTTTTCCTGAATTTCTCCTTCCTGTAGGATTCTAAGCTTTGACTCCCTTTTCTCTTGTCATGCAACTCTATAAGATTGTTCTGTTCTCTTTTCCCCTGTATATTTTATTTTGCTTTCAATTTTAGGCCTCTGTATGGACAAGATCTGTTTTCTTGATTTTCTCAAGCACTTCTGAGACAAGTTGACTTTAATCATGATTTCATTATAGTAACTAACATTCATGTAGCATCTTATAGTCTGAGTGCTTTACATGCCCTTACTTGATCGCCCAGGGATAATAAAGATGAAGTGGTTTTAGAAAGTAGAGTAGTTGGTAGCTTCAAAATAGTCATGGGAAAGTAAGTAAAGCATAGGAAATATAGTCAGTAATATTGTGATAACTGTGTATGGTGCCAGTTGGGGTGCTAGAAATATTGAGAGGAACACTATGTAAAGTTTATGATTTTGTAACCACTAAGCTATACACCTTAAACCAATGTATAATAAAAAGAAAAAGAAAAAAGAGAGTAAACTTAGTTAAGCTTCCCAAGTGCACATTTACAGCATTTAGGTGCCTGGCACTGTGCTTTCTATTGTAGGAACATAAGATGGTTTCTGTCTTCAAATGAGCCTGTAACAACTGCTCACAAACCCCAGAGCTGTTGTAATTTGGCAGAACTTGGACTGGCTTGCTTTGCTTTCAGAAGGCTCCCTGCCTGTCTCTTCTTTCACATGAGAAAGTTCTAAACATTTTAATTTAGTTCTAAGAATAAGGCAAAAGACCCTAGAGATGAAGATTTTTATTCCCCAGACCCTACTTATGGTTCTGACTCAATGGGTCATTTTTCATAGAATGATGCTTTTGTCCTTCCTGGCTTAAGCCTTTCACAGAAGAACATGGATCACTTAAGTAGTGCTGTGTGCTAGGTAATGCTCTATGTGCTTTACATATGGTAATTCATTTGTCCTCAAAGCAAAGAACTGTGAAAGCTGTTTAGTTCAGTTCATCTTAACTGAGGCTTAAAAAGATAAAATTGACTTGTCCTATGGTTAGTCAGGTGACCAGTGGTTGAACTGATACTAGAACACAGTTTTGTTCGTCTTAGTCCTGTAGGTTTTAAAAAGGGGATTGAGTAGTTTTAAGGTACTTAAACAGAGCTCTATTTAAGAATGCTGGGGTCTTAGTGTTGGAACTGCGTAATGTTGGCGCTATGCTGCCTTTGTTGGGTAGCAGGATACATATCCCTCAAATGTTGAATTTGCATTTCGGAAAACAAATAAATCCTTTGAAGATTCAATTTATAAAGCTAGAAGTAGTGATCTTAACTTGATACAGCAGCCGTTTAGAAAATGTTCAGAGTATATATAGATAAATAGCAAAGAATATAATTATATTTTTCATAATTAATATTGTATATGATTTATTTACCTTAATTAAACATAAAGCTAAACCTTATTTTTTGAGGGAAGGAAGATTAGCATTAATTTAGTGTTTTAGTGAAATAGCTATAAAGTTTTCTATTAAGTTCATCTTAGATTATGTTTACAGCTAGACATTTTGCCTACTTTTCAAATTTAAATTTTTATTTATTGATTGATTTTAGAGAGAAAGAGGAAAGAGAGAGAGAGAGAGACATCAATTTATTGTTCCACTTATTTTTGCATTCATTGGTTGCTTTCTGTATGTGCCCTGACGGGATTGAACCTACAACCTTGGCATATCAGGATGATGCTCTAAACAAGTGAGCTACCTGGTCAGGGCCTCAAATTTAAATACTGTATTAGCAAATTTAAATGTCTAATAAACATCTATATATATGTAAAGTTAAACTGTAAGAGTTATTCTTCAGATTTAAGTCATTTACAGATCCTTGTTTTCTCTTGCACATCATCAGGCTATTTTGGACATGACATATTTTGAAGAGAACAAACTAGTAGATGAAGATTTCCCTGAAGACTCTTCACAGAAAGTAAAAGAGCTGATCACTTTTCTTTCAGAACCAGAAATTTTAGTCAAGGAAAATAACATGTATCCCAAAGTAAGTTTTACACTCGTGAATGATGATAAAGCTGCTAATTCTTGCTGTATGGACTGCTCTTTAGAGTATTTTTTCTTCTTGAATTTGCCTTTGTTTTTGATATAAATTAAGATTGAAGAAGGGATTATGAGAGGTTAATACTTAAGATCAATGTCACACCTAAAGTATTGTATTTTACTAAATATGTTTCAGAATATTTGCATGATGGAATTGTAATTACAGTGCCTGATCATTTTTCAAGCACAGGTATTTGCTGTTCTGCTGCCTTAACTTTCGCAGATATGCATTTTCTTGAACATCCCAGTAATTTAATTACCACATCTCTTGTCCTTTTTACAGTCCTTATCTTCCTGGACATTTGCTGCCTTTCTTCCCATGGATCCACCTATCCCTTCCATCCCTGCATGCTCCTCCTCTTCATCTCTGAGAAGCCTTGCCCTTGCCCCAGCATTTCCCGTTTCTCCCATTCTGGAAACAGGCACTCCCAAGGACATGTCCTTAATCCTCCGATCGTCTCTTCTGTCTTTGTTCTACAACCTGTTCCTGTCTCCTTACTGCATCTCTAGTTAGGTGATTCCGAGTTTCTATGTCCAGCCATGGCTACTCTCCCAAGCAAATAATTTCTTATCTTGAACTGCTCGCTGCCTGTCTCCTCCTAGATATCTTTTGAGCTGTATGTGTTTATGAGGTATGCTAACTGTGGAAACAGATACTCCCAAATTTTAAATGGCACAACACAGTAAAAGTTTGATTAACGTTGTTCTTGTGTATATCTTTTTATTTTATTATAGCAGTGGTAGAAATAGATAAAATCTTGTTTCAAGTAACATGTTTCTGAAAAGTTATCTTTTGAATCAGATTATGGAATATTTATATTTCAGATACATTAGAACTTGCTAATAAAACATTTAAATAATATTTTCTAAAAATATTTGTAAATGAAGTAGTTATTTTAATTTTTATGTAGCATTAGATTCTGTATTTCTATTTGATTCAGAGTAAGGCATTCCTGTGTAAATAGCTAAACGAAGACCAAATGTTGTGAAATGAGAGTTTTTAATTCTCAGTATTTTGAAATTTAACTTTGATATTTACAGACATCAGATTTTACTTCTTAGCTTTGTCTTTGTTGTGTTTCAGCACTGTGATTTGCTTGGGGACGAACTCTTGGAATGTCTCTCTTGGCGACGAGGAGCCCTACTTTATATGTATTGTCATTCTCTGACCAAGAGGAGAGAGTGGCTCACGAGAAAATCCAGTTTGCTGAAAGAGGTAAAAAGGCATTCCTCACTCCTTTGCTTGTCTACATTCAAAGGCTCCTAAAGGCTGTCTTTGGTATAATATCAAGACTCTGGGAACCAAAGGGTCTGCATGCCAGGTCTTTTGCTTACTACCTGTGTAATCATAAACAAATTGGAATTATTCTGAAGATTAAATAAGATTCCATGTGAAAGCTCTTTATATACTGGGAGGTTCTATAAGTTCATGTTTTTTATTTTTTAAAATATAAGGTAGACAATATATATTAATTTTTAAGCATATTTTGGCCTGAAGGAAACACACTGGTTGTGAGCCTCTCTTATCGGCAGATCACTCCTGAAGAACCCGCATGCTGATAGAACACTGTGGCTCTCTGATTTGGCTCGACTCTGACCAAATCAATAAATCCAAAGTTGGTCTTAGTATTGTATCACTAGGGATTCTAACCTGCATCGATTGTACATGTGGTTTATGTGGGTCGAGAAATGAGAGGTCACACTTTTAGATGTAAAAGTTTGAGCATATAATTTCTAAGTTATAGTAAGTACATGCATATTTTTCATAAATTGTTAAATTTATTATTCTTTTCTTCCTCTGATAACATTTTGACAAGTATATTACCAAATTATGTATTCTTGGTTAATGATTTTTTTTTCTTCTATATTCTTATAACTGGAGCATTTGGAGGGTGACACTTTGTAGTATATATTGTAAACATTTTGAGGTGGTGGATCCTTAGACTATTGAAATGCAATAGCTATAAGATACATCTATATATTAGCCCATTTTTCATGAGTAAAGAATAGGAAAAAATTAACATTTGAAGTTTCCTTAGCTCTGCATATAATACTTTCAATTCTTTGGCTTTGACTTTCATTTAGTACCTTGTTGATGGAATCAGTTACTTGCTACAGATGCTAAATTATCGGTGTCCTACCCAATTAGATGAAGGCGTTTCTTTCCAAGACGTAGACACAGCTAAGTTACTGAGTGAAGGTAATGTGATCTCTTTTTGAAGTTTTTGTTTTTAAGGCTTTGTAAAATTTTAAGAAGTGTATTACATTTCACTCTGATTTAAGTAAATTTCAAGTTACATCGTAGACAAAAATGATAAAACGGCTTCTAAAAAATTAAAGATCTTCTCACATAATATAGAAAAATATTACTAACCTCTCTGTTTTGTAATTTCGGGAGCATTATATATCATGTTACATTTACTTATTTTACAACTACCATAGCCCCGATCAGGTACTAGGTTTCACTGCGTGTAACAGAAATTAGAAGTAATTTTTAAACAAGATACAACTTTACTGCTCTTGAACATAAAAAAGATCCAGAGCTGGTTATGTTGGCTCCGTGGTGTCATCAGGTTCCTATCTCTTTCCCTCTTCATCTTTAGAACAGAGCCCTTCAGCTTCAGAGGGAGATACTTTCTATAGGATACCACGTGAACAGTGCTTCCCAGTGCTGTGCAGCACGCTTTCCTGTGAGGGTACTGCTTCCATGCTTAGTATCCCAACATGCCCCTGGAGCGCCTTCCATCTCACCTGTGCTTCAGTCTACAGGAACGGCAAAGATGTCTCTTTGACCTAAGTCCACTCCTTTGGAGCAACCTTCTCAGAAGTTTCTTACAACACGTACAACACTTATACCTACATTCACTGGCCAGAGTTGAATCACATGGATTCATGTAACTAGGAGGGAACCTGGAAAGTATAGTCCTTTACCTGATCCATTTCCATCCCAAATAAAATGAAGTCTTTACCTAGAAAGAAAGGAAGAATGATTGAATAATGGGTAGCAACTATTAGTTTCTGCCATAAACATCTTTGCACTTAAAAATGTTAAGAACTGGCCCGGCCAGTGTGGCTCAGTGGTTGAGCATCAACCCATGCACCAAGAGGTTGCTGGTTCAATTTCTGGTCAGGGCACATGCCCAGGTTATGGGCCCGATCCCCAGTGGGGGGCATGCAAAGAGGCGGCCTATCGGTGTTCTCTCTCATTGATGTTTCTATCTCTCTCTCCCTCTCCCTTCCTCTCTCTCTCTAAAATCAATAAGTAAAAGAAACAATAAAAAAAAAATGTTAAGAACTGGATATAGAGGATCATCGGGGTTTTAGATGAGGTGTGGGAGGGAAGAACCACTTATTTTTACCATCTCTTTTAACAAATGGAGGGACAGAGCTCCTGATAAACCAGATACACCTGGTTCGTGGTCTTTAGCTGTCAAGTGATGTACATGATCATGTGTGCAAACTTTCTTTTATACTTCATCTGAAATTTGTTGTTGTTAATCCAACTAAGGATATTTTTCCATTGATTTTTAGATAGATTGGAAGGGAGGGAGGGAATGAGAAAGAAACATCAATTGGTTGTCTCCCGCACAACCCTGACCGGGGTCAGGGATCGAACCTGCAACCCAGGTAGGTGCCCTTGACCGAGAATGAAACCCACAACCTTTGGGTTCATGGGCCGATGTTCTAACTGCTGAGCCAAACTGGCCAGGGCTCATCTGAGGTTTGGATGGGGAAAAATCAAATATGGGGAAATATTAGGTAATCTTTTATTTTTTCATTTTATACATTTGTTTTAATTCTCCTTTTTTAGTTCTATAGACTTTTATGTTTCTTTTTCAGAAACATTGCATGAAAAAAACAGCATGATATAAGTATCACTAATATATGTGGCCAGTAGTGTCCAAAATTTTTAAATTTCAGTTAATTCAGGCAAATAGCTTATTCTAAAGAAGCTTTATTGTGAACACAAAGTGCTCTTTCAGCAGGCATGACATTTTGACAAACATGGGGTGTCTTAGTTTATTTATGAGAAGTGTATTTATTCCAGAAAACTAGTGAACTGATAACTGTGTTAAAAATGGCTTTTCTAAAAATCTCACACACTTGTATGGATTAATTTAAAAGAAAAAGCAGGGGCGGACACTAAAGACTATTTAGAATAAAAGACAGTGGCGCATACCACCTATTTCCCTCCACCTCCCATTGTTAGTCATACAGTAAGATACTTTCGTGACCTGAAATTTATTCTTCAAAATGCATGTAATACTTCTCTCATTTATTTATTTATTTTAATTGAATTTATCAGAGTGACACTGGTTTAAAAGTTATACCGGTTTCAGCCCTGGCCGGTTTGGCTCAGCGGTTAGTGCGTCGGCCAGAGGACCAGAGAGTCCCAGGCCCGCTGAGGGCACGTACCTTGGTTGCAGTTTGTCCCCGGCCCTGGTTGTGGCCATGTGGGTGGCAGCCAGTACTGTGTCTCTCACATTGATGTTTCTCTCCCCCCCATCCCCGCAATATCTGAAGATAAATGCAAAAAAAAAAAAAAGTCCTCAGGTGAGGATAAAGAATAAAAAAAAAGTTACGCTGGTTTCAGGTGCACTATTCTACAACACGTCACCTGTACCCTGTATTGTGTGTGCACCACCCCAGGTCAAGTACTGGTGTCTTCTCTTAGATCATAATTTCCACTAGCCTCTAGCTTTGATTGCTTCTGTAACAGAGGAATCAAGGAGGACAGAAACAACCTGGCTGGTGAGCATTGACCCATGCACCAAGAGGTCACCGGTTCGATTCCTGGTCAGGACACATGCCCAGGTTGTGGGCCAAATCCCAGTGGGGGACAAGCAGGAGGCAGCCAGTTGATGTTCTTTCACATTGATGTTTCTTTCTCTCTCTCTCTCCCACTTCCTGTCTCTAAAATCAATAAAGAAAAAAATTTTAAACAAAAAAGACAGAAAGGGTCACATTTTTCCAGAAACAAAGATAACAATATTATGTCCACAGTGGTTTTGTCACAGTGTTTAGTGCTCTTTTGCTGGTAGCTTCTTGCTCTCATCTAAAGCTGTTTGCTCCTCTGTAATTCATCTCTCTCAAGATAGTTAGAAACCAGCAAGCCTACTATTTATAGGCTAAATTACTCCTAAGACCCTGTCAGAGACATTTAATTTATTTTTTCATTTTTTTGTTAGCTAATATAAAACATAATTCTGAAAAATCCTCAATACTCATTAGCAGGAAAAGTTCTGTATGAGTCATCAAAACATTTTTGTGGGCAGATCTGAATGATAATTTACCTAATTTTAGATAAAACTCAAAAGTTTTTGAGTTTTATCTAAAAAATCGTAGTAAGATTTTTTTTTTTTCTTTTTTCCAAGGTAAGATAATCAGACTCTCCTTTGAACATTACTTATATGTCATTAAATTTTCAGCTTTTAAAAATTATCAGGTAATGTATTCAGTAAACCTTTTTATCTTATCTCTGAGCCTTGTTCTCTGTGTGTCCTTATAAAAGTAGCCTTGTCAGAATAACTCTGGAGTTACATAGTTTAAATAAAATACTGTTGAGCTTTGGACACCCTTGGTTTATGCCCTTTTTATACCACTGAGGGCCACCCCCTTCCAGCGACCCTTTGGCCCATTGCTTAATCTAGAAACTGGACTTCAGATCCCCTAAAGGAGTGGCTCTGATCTATCATCGCTAATAGCCTGGGTGGCTCGTCAAAAATACAAATGTGTGTGTACCACCTGCAGGTTCAGATTCAGCTTGTGGAGTGCAGGAATCTGTTTATTAAGCTTTCATAGTTACGATGAGTCAGACTGAGACTTCACTGCTCCAGGGATGCCAGTCTGTCCACCTTCTTCATGTGAGGGTCGCCTTTCTGCCCTCACTGTCACTTATTCTGCCCCTCCTTCTGTATTCCCTCTAGCATGTGTGTTCACCTAGGATGTGCACAGTGCAAAGTGAAGTAGTTGATTGAAAATGATGCTGAGCATTAACAGAAAAAAAAAGGAAAATTTGTAGCCATGAAAAGACTATAGCTACAGAGTGGTAGATTCCTTGGGGGAGTAGAAAGGTGGAAAGTGCCTGATTTTTACATTGTCTGTGCTTTAAATGCAGGGTATTTTAATGCAGTAGTTTAGCATAGGCTGTGGGCAGCAGCAGCAGCATCACCCTAGGTCCTAGGGCTTTGTGTGTTTTTAATCCTGTGAGGATATGTTTCTGTTGACTTAGAGAGAGAGAGCGCGAGCGTGCGCGAGAGAGAAAAGCATCTATGTGAGAGAGAAACATCGATCAGTTGCCTCTTGTGCCCCAACTGAGGATTGAACCTGCAACCTAGGTATGTGCCCTGACTGGGAATTGAACCCACAACCTTTCAGTGTACGTATGTATTTTACTCCAACCAACTGAGCAACCCAGCCCTGGCCTCCTAGGACTTTGTTAAAAATGCAAATTCATAGACCCAACTCCATACCTGAATCTCATGCTTGGAAACGGGGCCCAGCAATCAGCATTTTAACACGTCTTTCTGGTAATTCTAAAGCAATCTAAGGTGTGAGGAACACTCTATCATATAACCATTCATTCTGTCCCTGGTAAACTCTTCCCATACGATATCTGTGTACCTTGTTCAACAGTCACTCCTTGTTAATATAAAGAATAAGGCTTAGCCCTGGCCGGTTTGGCTCAGCAGTTAGAGCATTGGCCTACGTTCCAGAGAGACCCGGGTTTGGTTCCCGCTAAGGGCATGTACCTCAGTTGCAGTTTGTCCCCGGCCCTGGTTGGTCATGCGGGAAGCAGCCACTCGATGTGTCCCTTTCACATCAATGTTTCTCTCTCTCTTTCTTCCTCTCTCTCCCTCCCAGTCTATCTGAACAAAAAATGGAAAAATGTCCTCGGGCGAGGATTAAAAAAAAAAGAATGAGGCTTAGACTGGTCAGTGTGGCTCAGTGGATTGAGCATCATCCCATGAACGGAGAGGTCCCAGTTCAATTCCAAATCAGGGCACATGCCCAGGTTTTGGGCTCCATCCCCAGTAGGGGTTGTACATGAGGCAGCTGATTGACATCTCTCTCACATCCATGTTTCTCTAAAAAAAAAAAAAAATCTAAACATTGAAAAAAAAAAAGAATGAGGCTCATTGGGAGTTGTGCATAAATTGGATCCCAGGTCTCCCTTAGACAAATGTTCCCACTCATCCCAAGTGGCTTCACTTTGTGGGACATACTTCAGCTCCTCCTCCCAAAACAACAGCCTGCTTAAAAGTTCGACCTTCCCTCCTTTTCTGATTCTATCTCCTTACCTCCCTCCACCAATCTTTTTAGAAATAATTAGGCAGGGTGTAGGGTCACAGAAATAAAAAAGATATGCATTCAGTGAAGTGCTGAATCTAATACAAAACAATTCTAAATAACATCTAATGCTGCATTCAGCTTTTCTCTAAGGTTTATATTACTAGTACAAAGAAGTGGTTATGTGTAATATGTATTGTACTTATTAAGGGAATGCTGTTTTACATATAGAAAGCATAATTAATATAGTGTTTATCGTTTGCATGAATGTAGGCCTCAGATTCTGCTCTTAAGTGATCATTCCTTTTATTGTTGTAACAGTTTAGGGTCAGCTCTTCTGTTAAACCTATTCCTTCTCTTGCTGCTGTTTTTAAGTAGAATTTGAGGTGTAGTGAAGGGATAGCTGTAGGGACAAATTCTGAGATTGTAAAAAGTTTGCAGTAGAGTCAAGATGATAGAAACTGTAACAGTTATAAAAGTTGCATTCTTCTATTTTTGTGTCTCTAGTACCATCATAATCATTTCTGATGAGCCATAGTTAGTGAGCAACTGAGATTATGATGTTCATTTATTTGAGGTAAACTTTTCCAATCACACAAGTACCTGTATATTAGAATAAATTATTTATTTTTATTTTAGTGATTTGAAGACATTAATTAGTCATATAGTTTATATCATAGCCAATAATTTATACCCAGATCTTTTTGATTCTAGGTCTGTTTGTCTTTCTGTCAGAGTCATATACTTTGTGCCACAGATGTATAATTATATAATTGCCTTATTTCATAATAAGATTGCTTTAACTTTTGATGGAAATCCTGCATGTATTCCCTTTTCCTGGAAACATAAACCATCTTAATATAATGTAACATCTTTGATAATTTAGGATGATATGGCCTATCAGGGCCATGTTTATGTGTGATAATTTCTGTAGACTCTTCTAGACATGTAGGAGGTAGTATACTTGACTGGAACTGTAATACTGATTATAGAGTACACCCTCAAATTGTGGTCATGATAGCCTTCAGGGAGACTGAATACTCTGAAATTGTGTGCAGAATTTGGGGTATATGTTCAAGGAGAGGTTTCATTGATTAGATTAGGATCTCAAAGAGGCCCTAGAATTCCAGAAAGGTTAAGAACACACTGACCTAAACAATCTGTTAAAAACATTCTCTGACTGTACTCTTTATAGATAAAATAGAGATAGAAGTGCCAATTAAATGATTATATTAGTGATACTTGTCTTTTCTAAGTGTAACTGTTACATGAGAAGGAAAGATGATTGATGACATAAAAGGATTTATTAGAGTTTTCTTAACCAGAGCTTTTTTTTTAAGTTTTTAATTCTAATCTCTCAACCTAAATGATTTTCCTAGGAATATTTAGTGATATTCATTTGCTGGCTATGATGTACAGTGGAGAAATGTGTTACTGGGGATTGAAGCATTGTGCAGATCCACAGCCAGGAAACCAGGAAGTGGAGACTGGTGTTTCTGGAGCAAGCTGCACTACACACAAAGAACCCTTGGATTTCCGAGAAGTGGGAGAAAAAATTTTGAAGAAGTATGTATCTGTGTGCGAAGGACCCCTGAAAGAACAAGAATGGAATACAACAAATGCAAAGCAAATTTTAAACTTCTTCCAGCATCGCTCCAACTAGTAAGTTTATCTAGTCCTTTTCAAACAGAAAAACAAAAAAAAACATGAAATGGAAATGTTCCAGAAAAGAAGACATATTGATACTGAATTTGAGAATGTCACACTACATAAAGGTGTCCGGTGTGGTTACCCTTTTTTTAAATGCCATTACCGTATTTCACTATATATTCTTTTTTTTTTTTTCAATCCTCACCTGAGGATATTTTTTTGTTTATCTTCAGTTAGAGTGAGAGGGAGGAGGAGGAGAGAGAAACATCGATGTGAGAGGAACACATTGACTGGTTGCCTCCTGCACCACCCTGACTGGGGCCAGGGCCGGGGACGAACTGCAACTGAAGTACGTGCCCTTGACTGGAATCGAACCTGAGACTCTCTGGTCTGCGGGCCGATGCTCTAACCACTGAGCTAAACTGGCCAGGGCTCATTATATTCTTAAACCTATGAAGGAACAAATCTTTCATTTCTAAAATGGCATGTAGCGTATTCTAATTCATCCTGTACTAGAGATATCCTGTAACTACTAAGGAAGAATCCAATTTAGTTTTATAAGGATTTTTTTGTTACTTCAGATTATGTTTTATTTTAGAGAAAGGAAGAGAGAGAGAAACATTGCTCGGTTACCTCCCACATGTGCCTCGACTGGGGATCGAACCTGAAACCTGGGTATGTTCCCTGACCGGGAATCACACCCGCCGCCTTTTGGTGCAGGACAATGCTCCAACCAGTGGAGCATCAGATTACTTTTTATTGTGGTAAAATATAACATAAAATTGAGCATTTTAACTGCCTTTACATTATTTTTCTTTCTCTCTGCCTTGAGATTTGGTGTGCTTCAAAGGTTAATGCCAAGTCATCTCATTGCTTTGGATATAAAAATTGGCTAAATTATGACAGATATTCAGATTCCATTGTCAGAATAACATAAGTAATGAAAGACTCACAAAAGAATTGTTGTTTAATTATTTTACCATGTACTACTAATGACATTTAAATGATTTTCCACTGCTATTAGGCATTTTATAAAAATTTAAAATTATTTTCTTATCTTGTTTAAAAGAATATGCATGGTTATTAAATGAGTAGTAAGGATAAAAGCAAGTTAGGTTAGTCCACACTATTAGTTCCTATGTCTTTAAGGCACATCTTTTGATATGTATTGTAATGTTTATGTTTTTTGTCTCTAATAGTAGGGATGAGGGATAAAGGCCAGAGAGCCTAACTGCTGTCTTGCTTACAGTCTGTCTACCTCTACACCAGGACTTCATCACATTCCCAGAACTGACTCCCATGGCCACACAGTATCACCATCCTCAGTTTCCGGTTTTGAAATCTTACGTTTTCGTAACTGATGATAATTCTCATCTGCCTAGCCTTTTCACCTCTTCATTTTTATTGATTTTTTTCCTCCTTTGTTCTACTCTTTTTCACTTCTTCAGGCCTCTTCCTCTTGATTGCCACCTCTTCTCCTAAACTGTTAGTCTTTTTCAGATGTTCTCCCTTATCCAGCTTCAGCCTTAGGGGAACCGAGTGAGTGCTCTCTCCAGTCCCTTCAAATCCATCTTCCCCTTGACCCTCAGCCTCATCATTCCGCAAGCCCTCAGCATTGAATTGTCATTCCCTTTTTCTGGATGCTGAGTTCCATGTGAAATACACAAGCCCTTCAAAGTGGAATCACTCTAAGGATCTCACCTTCAACTTTAGAGAGGCCCTCAGCATAAACCTTTTGTTGTTACTGGTGTGGCCCCTCCCCTAACACATTGCTTGGTCTTATCTTACAGAAAACGGAGACTGGGAGGTCATTTTCTATTCACTAGCTTTCTCCTACTCATCCCCTACCCCACTGTTTGTACAGGAAAAGAGGGAGCCTGCTTCCGCTTGAAGACCAGTCTCTACCTTTCCTGTCTGCCATCTCCCTCATTTGCCCCAGTGCTTCTCTCTGTCTACCCTCAGATACTGATCTTCCACCACCTTGCTCCTTTTCCCTTCCTTCTTTCTTCTTCTCTGTTGACTCTAAATACTCTTCTTGTGTGATGTCATTCATAGCCATGGCTGCTTCTGCCCCTGTCATCTTGCCCTCCCGTGTTATCACAGGGGTCACGCTGCTTTATCGTTATTTTCCTTAGGACTTGGTGAATTCCGTATTTTACAATTTATACATAATGCTTAATAAATGGTAAGCCATTAATAAAGTTTTTTGGAATTAATAAGAGACATGATTCTAAGTGCCGAGCTCTGCATACAAGGTGGCTTCTACTGGATTCCCAACTGCCATGCCCTCCACACCAGAGTTGACAAGGCAAGCAGGGAAATCAGTCCTCAGAAGAGTCAAGTATTATGAGAGTTGGAACCCAGGAAAACAGGAGAACTTTCTCTTCCAAAGCTGGGAAACTTCCATTTTGCCTTCATGACCCCTTTGAACCACGTGGGTCTCACTGCTTGGTACAGTCATGAGGGGACTATCGGGTGCTTTTTGTACAACTTTTTGTCCGCCACACAATTGGAGGATAATTTGTAGGCCATAACAGTTATAATATAATACTTTTTACTCTAATGTATTACAGAACAGTTAACACATTTTTGTATGTTAAAGCCTGCTAAGTAAATTCTGTTTCATTTAGAATGAAGTAACTTCAAGATACCAAATATTCCACATAAGGAAAGTACTATAATTCACTCATTAACAATTTTTATGTGCCCACTACATACCAGATTTTGTCCTAGGCGCTGAGGATATATAGCTTCGTAAAACACTCTGTTTCAGAGTTTGTATTCTCGTGGAGGAAGTTAACACATTTTAAGAAATAAATGAATAGCATGTCAAGTACTATGAAGAATAAAACAGGGTAAGGGGCTGGTGTGACTCTGGAGAGAAGTGCTATTTTTAGGGTGGTTGGGAAGGCACCTCTAAGCACCTGTCTACTTTAGCATTTGTGTCTTCAAATTCCAACTCTTTGGTTAAATGCCTTGAACATTAAGTACATTTATAAAGTTTCTTTTTCTTACGAAAGTTCTGATACTGCAGTAAGAAGTGAACCACTATATAAGTCCTTGTCATTTTTGTTAACATTCATAGGGTTGCTGTCCAGTGTGGGCTTTACTAGTGGGTGAGTGATGATCTAAAGGCCTTGGTACATTTATTACTGTTGGGGTTTCTCCTTTTTGGTTCTCTGATATTTACTAGAAAAACTGTTTTAATGGACTTTTTATAATCCTTAAATTTATATGGTTCTTTCCCTGTATGAATTTTCACATGTCAGCTCAGCTTTGAAACATAAAGGCCTGTCCACTTCGCTGCATCTATAGGGTTTCTGGCTACTGTGAGTTGTTTCATGTTAAGGTGCAAATCATGACTAAAGATGTTCCCTTATTCCTTTGCATACCGTAGAGAGGTGGGAGCCATGGCTAAAATCCCACTATAAAAGTACATTCCTTCCTCTGCAGTCTCACTGTGAATTCTCTGGTGTTCATTAAAGTGGGAGACGTATCCGAAGCATTCTCAGATTAATTTTAATGGCATTTTTAAAAACCTGCAACTGGTCGACATGTTAGTTTTAGATTGCTTATCACTTCTGTTTCCACCTTCCAGGGCTCTCTTTTCTGGCTTACATAAGGATACTCCATCTGCCATAGAACCCAGGATTCTGTAGTTCTCTCATATCACTTTCTTGTATTATTATTTTTTGAAGATCTAATTGACTTCATTAGTGGATTCATGAACCAGGGAGTATCCCATCCAGCAACTAGAAGGGTGCCCCCTTTCTTGTATTATTTTGTAACACAATATGAGATATATTATGAAACTATTACATTAGAATACATTTAATGTCTCCACAATTAAAGTATGTGTTATGTATTCATGCTGGTGTTCTTTGCTGTTTTTTGTTTTTCTACTTCTAGTGAAAATATCCAAGTAAAATGTTTTGGAGCATAGAAATTTAAAAAATAAAACCATGTTCCCACATTTGTATCTTGTTCTTTGTTTTCTTTTATATCTGGGTTTTGTGTGAGAATGAAAATTTTATCATCTCAGTTTACTATTGATGTCTCGATATTATTTCTTCTTGTTCTAATAGCTTTCAGATAGGAATATGGGCTCTGGAGCCAAAGGCCTGAGGTTAAATCCCAGCTTTGTCATTTCCTAGCTGTATGACTTAAATTACTTAACCTTTCTGTGCCTTAATATCTTTTTTTTAATCCTCATCCGAGGATGTATTTATTGATTTTTATTTATTTATTTATTTTTTAGATAAAGGGAGCACGAGAGAGAAACATCAATGTGAGAGGAAAACACTGATCACTTGCCTTCTATACACATTCCATTCGGGGACCGAATCCACAACCTAGGTATGTGCCCTGACCAGAAATCAAATCCACGACCTTTTGGTATACGAGACTATGCTCCAAGTGAGCCACATTGGCCAGGGTCCTGTGCCTTAATATTTTATTTAACACAGGTACAATAATAGAACCTACCTCACAGGTTACTGATGATTAAATGATCAGTGTCTAGCACAAGGCAAGAGCTCAAAAGAGTTTGTTACTACTATTATTTTCCTTCTTGTCTACTTCTGTGTATTGGCATACCTTGTTCATCGAGCGGAAAGCTGTAATGCTCATCAACCGGAGTAACTGAGTGATAAACTTCTGGCCAGGAGGAGTCCCTTGTTGCCCTGTCCTCAGTTTGAGTGGTGCTAACTATTCTAAACGGGAAGCAGGCTTCAGAGAAGAAATGGGCTAGATAGGCATCTCAAATGTTTGTTATAGACATGGCCAGAGGAAAACCTACAATTTTAAGAAAACTTTCAGCCCCAGCCTCCAATTATATGTATATATACACGCACTGTATACCAACTTCTACATTCACCAATCTGCCTGATTGAGTTTGCTTCTGGTACCTTTGGTCACTTAACTCACAAGTAATCTTAATTCAGAAGTATTTAATGAAATGTCAGCTTTATTCTTAGCTGGATTAGACTAAACTATGTAATCTATTTGAAACACTGACACATAGTACTAAATAAGTAGTTGTGTCCTTACCAATAGAGAGTATACCTATTTCAGTATAATTGATTACTTTGTAATGTGGGCTACAGTAACTGGAAAGCTGGACAAAGGGAGTAAGATGGACACGTTGAGAAATAAAAACAACTCACTAGTGGGATTTCAGCAATACTAAATCTGGTTTCTCTTCTACCGCCTGTTGCTGCCCTTGAATGAGATATGTTCAGCATTTTTTTTAAGTGCGCTTTTATTTCTACATAGTGGACCTAGACGCCTCATTTTGGCATAAGGTCCTTTATGACCAGGCTCCTAATCGCCTCTCTAGTCTCAATTTTCGTTAATCCCCAAGAAAACAAATGATAAATTTGGACTGAAAACCAACCAACCAAACTCCCCCCTGGGTGCTGAGAAGGAAGCAGTGGGTTAGAAAGCCCCGGAGACGGAGAGCCATCTCTGAACAAGTAGGAGTAGCCTGGGCCCAGGCAAGCATCCTCGGTCCACCAAGGACATTACAGAGGGCCAGAGGTCCGCAGCCACGGTGAGGGTAGCGTGGCCGAGCCGAGGCCTGGAGTGCACGGGCAGGGACTCTCCTGGGGAGCTCCCAGCGCAGCTCGGAAGCACAGCCAGCCTGGCCAGCCCTGGGCTGCTCCCGGCCTCTGGAAGTGGGCCAGGCTGGGGACAGCGGGGCGGGGCGGGGCGGGGCGGGGCGGGGCGGGGGATGAGCGCGGGGGGCGGGGCTGGGGATGAGCGCTGGGCGCGCCGGGGGCGGGGCGTCCTGTGACCCTGCGCCACGTCCCCTGCGGCGCCGGCGACCATGGCGGGAAGCGAGGCGCGCCCGGGATGCGGCTCCCCTCAGCCGCAGCACAGCGACTGGAGCCGCCTGGAGGCGGCCATCCTCAGCGGCTGGCGGAGCTTCTGGCAGTCGGTGGGCAAGGAGCGGGCGGCGCCCAGCGCCTCCCGAGAGCCGGCGGACGAGGAGCCCAGCGCCCTGGCGCGGCTGCCGGTGAGCGTCGGCCCCGCGGGGACCCCGGGCGGGGAGGGGCGCCTTGCCTGCCACCCCGGGAGCCCGGGGACCTCGGCGGGGTCTGGCCTGTCCCTGCAGCTGCTGCGGCCTGCGGTCACCTGGGAGCAGCAGTTGGTTTCTGTGGGCGAAGGTCGCAGGGAATCACCCGGGCACCAGCCAGGTCACAGCCAGGTCGCCCTAGGGCGTCCACCCCAAACCGGGCTGGGGACTAGGACGGCCGACTGTCAGGCTAGGATCAGGGGACCAGCCAGACTTTCCGGCCGGCTCGGGAAGCGTCCGGCGCCGCGTCCTCGGCCTGTCGCCTCCCAGGCTCCGGGTCCCCAGCGCGTGCGGACCGCACTGGCCTCGAGCATCGAGCATCGCGGGAGCCTCAGCGCCGCGTCCTCGGCCTGTCGCCTCCCAGGCTCCGGGTCCCCAGCGCGTGCGGACCGCACTGGCCTCGAGCATCGAGCATCGCGGGAGCCTCAGCGCCGCGTCCTCGGCCTGTCGCCTCCCAGGCTCCGGGTCCCCAGCAGGTGCGGACCGCACTGGCCCGGAGCATCGCGGGAGCCTCAGCGCCTCGTCCTCGGCCTGTCGCCTCCCAGGCTCCGGGTCCCCAGCGCGTGCGGACCGCACTGGCCCCGAGCATCGCGGGAGCCTCAGCGCCGCGTCCTCGGCCTGTCGCCTCCCAGGCTCCGGGTCCCCAGCGCGTGCGGACCGCACTGGCCCCGAGCATCGCGGGAGCCTCAGCGCCGCGTCCTCGGCCTGTCGCCTCCCAGGCTCCGGGTCCCCAGCGCGTGCGGACCGCACTGGCCCCGAGCATCGCGGGAGCCTCAGCGCCGCGTCCTCGGCCTGTCGCCTCCCAGGCTCCGGGTCCCCAGCGCGTGCGGACCGCACTGGCCCCGAGCATCGGGCATCGCGGGAGCCTCAGCGCCGTCCCGGAGCAGAGCTTGCACCCAGCCAAAGGACGGCCCAGTTCCCGGGGCCGCAGGCCCACAGCGCTCGTGGCTCCGGCGGCGGGACGGGGGTGGTGCCCAGCACTCGAGCCCGTCTCCCCCGGACTGCCCAGCCCTCCCGGTGCCCGAGAGGGACAGCTGCGGGCGGGCGGTGCTCGCGGTCCCCGGCCGAGGCCTTCGGGTCATTCAGTGGACTTTACAGAGCGGCTCGGACGACAGCGCTTCGCTCTCGTTTGCTCTGATGGTAAAATCGGAAGCTGGCTTGAGAAAGGGTTATTTTGAAGGATAAAGTATTCCCGTTAGTAGTTGACTCAGATCGTGTGGCAAAACCTCCGTGAAAAGGCGTGAAAGGCACTGGTGGTTTTGCATGAAACATGCGAGAACAGTGGTGGGCTTTTCAGGGGTGTGCTGATGATGTGTCAGGAATTGAGTGTTCGAGTTACGGTTCTCTCCTGGTGGCAGGAGAAGAACTGAAAAATGTTAGATTTCAGTGAAAATAATGACTGTTAAGTTGATCGTTGGCTGTCTGGTATAATACTCTTTGTTGATCTGGTGATGTATCCTGATGTAGTTCATCAAGACACTGGTCAGTTGACCTTCGGTTTCCTAGGATGATAGTAATTTTTCTAACTTGTCATCAGAAAACAGTTTCCAAGATATTAAATCATCTACCCTTTTACTTATTAATTGCTGCTTCCCTCTGTTTCAGATTGACGTTCAGCTATATATTTTGTCATTTCTCTCACCTCATGACCTGTGTCAGCTGGGAAGTACTAATCATTACTGGAGTGAAACTGTACGAGATCCGATTCTGTGGAGGTATTTCCTGTTGCGGGACCTTCCTTCTTGGTCTTCTGTAGACTGGAAGTCTCTTCCAGATCTGGACATCCTGAAGAAACCTGTATCCGAAGTCACCGACGGTGCGTTTTATGACTACATGGCAGTGTAAGTATCTAGCTTTATAAATTAAAGAGAAGATACTAAATTTAAATTTGACTGTTCTACAAGTTAATATTCCTGCTACTAATTTGTTTCATAGATTTTGGGTCTAAGTGTCCTTTTGTGAAAGTTGGGCATTAAGTTAAAAAGACTTCCTTCATTTTGTTATTTCCCTGTGATGATGCCTGACCAGAGTACTTGAATAAATAGACAGAGTTCATATGGCAAGAAGTGAAACTCTCCTTAAAATTTTCATTATCTTTAGAACACTTGTCATTTTGTTAAATAGTAAATACTTTCCATATCCAGAGAAGGAATGGCCAGAGATGAGAGAGCAGTCAGTTCTTTGGCTGGGAGAAAATCATCCTCAGGGTTCTGGGAGATAAGATTTTCTTACTGCCCAAAAGCATTGGCATTCTCAAATATAATGTAGGTGAGAGAATTAATGTTATTGAGAAACTAGATCTCTGAGGGTTGCTTTATGTGTGTTTACTTATTTAATTCTGACCCAGTAAGAAGGTATTATCCTTGTGTTGTGGAGGTAGAATTGACCTTCATAGTGGTTATAGACTTACCTAAGGTCATACAGGTCACAAGGGAATGTTCAGATTGGGGCCCCGTCATGCTATCTTAAAAATCGATGTCATTGGATCTGGATATAACCTGCTTTATTGAGAGTCCCAAATTTAAGGCATTATAAATAAAATTAAAAGAATATTTGTGCTTTAGTTAAGAATTGTTCTGATGTGCTAGATTTACTACCTACGTGCAGGATTTTCTCCAAATTTAATTTTTATTCAGAATGTTTTTTTTCCTCCAGTCCAGATGCCATTGCATCATCTTGGGAGACTGCTTGATTAAATGCACATGATATGTTGTTATCTATTTCAACAAGTGCTACCTTAAACTTGCTGGGTGTTACCTCTACATTGTACCACAACCACCCATAGTATCAAGTGTATCTGATGCTGTGAGACCACATTTTCCCCAGGGATAGTAATAATCATAGTAACCATCTTTTGTGATCAAATTAAACTATTTATTATCCTTACACCCTGGGCTGATTGTTGTTGCTCAAATAATGCAGTTGGAAAAACTGAAGTTCAGACTATCCGTCTTGGCCTGATCTACTTAGCTTCAAATTTGATTTTTTTTACTTCTTGAATTGCAGGTTCCCAAATAAGGATGCTTATCCAGTTAGGTTAGTAATTGTCTTAACCAGCTAAATTTAGTTAAAGGGCTTTAGGTTTTATTTTGATTTGGGTAACTTCATTTCAATTTTTGATAACATGTAGAATTGCTAGTTTAGACATATAGCTATTGAAAGAAACTGAATTGTTTCTTTTACATGATTCTTAGTTTACTAGGTTATCTGTAAGGAATATTTGAGCCTCCGTATATATTTAACACTTATTGAACTGTTACATTTGAGGCTGTTAATGAGAGTACCTAAGAAACTTGGTATGTTTTTTTAGCATATAGGAACATTTATGCTAACTATCTGTGTTGTTTATATTTATATTTATATTTAGTTAGTGTAGTGTTTCTCAGTTTTGACACTATTGATATTTTGGACCAGATATTGTGGGAATTGTCAATGTTTTGAGGCATCCCTGGCCTCCACCCACTAGATGCCAGTAGCAACACCCCACTACCCCCTGTTGTGATGCCAAAAGGTCTCCAGATGTTGCCAAATGTTTCCTGGAACTCCAGAGTTGAAGAGCAAAACCTCCCCCGGTTGAGAATCACTGCTCTTATGTAGTGAATTTAAAAAAATTTTTTAAAGAAATACGTTGTTTATTAGAGAGGAGGGGAGAGGGAAAGAAACATCCATCTACTACCTCCTGCTCGCTCCCTACCTGGGTATTGAGCCCATATCCTGGGCATGTGCCCTGACTGGGAATTGAACCGGCAACCTCTTGGTGCATGGGATGATGCTCAACCAACTGAGCCACACTGGCCAGGGCTTATGTAGTGAATTTTAACCATTGAAACAAGTGTTAGACCAAATGTTCCATGAGAGAATCTAAGTGAAAGATTAGAATATAAATAATCACTTCCTGGGGAAGACTTTCTCAGGTTCTGGACCACTAGTATTGCCACAGGGCCTCGTGCTTTTTCCTGTCATGGCACTTGGCTTACATATTATAATGATGTCTTCCTCCACTGCCCTCCATGAGAATTGGAGCTATATAGTCAATGTATTCCTTTTATCTAGCAAATTCACAATAAATTATACATTGTTGAATAAATAACTGGCTATGTTTTTTTTCTGTTAATTTTCTAATTGTGACAATTTTATACAGCTATAAAATGTGCTGTCCATATACAAGAAGATCCTCGAAATCTAGCCGTCCTATGTATGGAGCAGTGACTTCATTTTTACACTCATTGATCATTCAGAATGAACCTCGATTTGCTATGTTTGGACCAGGTTTGGAAGAACTGAATACATCTTTGGTGTTGAGCTTGATGTCTTCTGAGGAACTTTGCCCAACAGCTGGTTTGCCTCAGAGGCAAATTGATGGTAATTGTCATGTTAATCTAGAGTACATAATAATTTAACACTTGGAGTTTGACACTATGTTAAATAGAAAGAAATTAATTTTTTACTTAATTCTTTGATATAATGAACTATAGCAGCAATTTTCAACTGGTGTGCCGCAAGAATTTTTAAAACATGCAATAACTAACTATTCTGGGGCACTGACCTCTTTTCCCTTAGACTGTCAAATTAAAAAATGACAACAGCCAACACAACAATAGCCATCTGGTGTGAATGAATTAAAATTATACCTATTTTTTTGATAGATTTGCAAAAATTATATTTTTTGATGTGCTGTAGAATTTTAGTTATTTATGTGTGCCATGAGATGAAAAAGGTTAATGAGATTCCCCCCAGTTGCCAATGGACTCAAAGAATTAATGTACATTTTAGAAGAGGTAAACTTCCTCTTATTTTCTCAAGTTTGTGTAATCCAGAATATAAGATTATATGAAAGTAAGTTATGTTGCCAAGATGTTGTATTTATACAGTATTTACTGTATTTTAAAAGAATGTTAACAGTAAAAACTATTTGGCATCTACTATATGCAAAGACAGTATTTTTACATACTGTATATTGAAATTTCAAAAACTTAATGATCACCTTTCCCTTCTTTCTATGGAAAAAAGAACAAACCAACCAACCCAACAATAGCCATGTAGTTAGTTGGTAAGCAGGATATATAATAAATACAAATTACAATATAATCTAGCTTTACTTATTCATTGATTGAGAGCACCTATTAGATGGTAGAGATGCAGATATTTAAAACAACATTAAAAATCTTTGTTCTGAAGATTCTTGGTCTAGGTAAGGGCAGAGATAAGTGTACAAGTGATTTGAATATAATGTAGTTAGTTCCTGGGTAGAAAGTTAAAGGTCAAAGAAGGCTCCACATTGAACAGGATGCCTCATGTAGGTCATTAAGGTGAGTAGGCTAGGCAATTAAAAAAAAAAGACAGGGTAAAAGTATTCTAAGCAATGAGAACTCCATTTCTAAAAGCACAAAGCTCTGGGTGTGCACGACACATCTGAAGTAGCTCAGTGTGTGTTCAGTGGGGCTAGGTGGGAAGACACTTGAATGCCATGCTTGAGCATTAGAAGCTCTTGAAGGATTTTAAACAGAGGAGTGACATAGTTAAGGTTGTATTTGGAAAGGTCACTCTTGCTCCTAAGTGGAAAATTAATTAGAAAGTGTTATAAAGTCATGGAGACCCACTAAGAAACCACTATAATATAAAAATAGGAAGGATATAGAATTGGCTGAATGAATGTATAGAGATAATAGATGCCTGCTATAAGCAATGCCTGAATGGAAGCTCCACTGGGGCAGGAATCTTGTCGGCTTTATTCTTAGCTGGATCTCAGGTATCAAGCACATAGTAGGCACTCAATGTATATTTGATGCATGAATGAATGAATGACTTTGTGGATTACTTTATGCATCCAGATCTCAAGAGCAAATTCTGGGCTAGAAATCAAGACTTGGGAATCATGGAGTCCATGTGGACTTTGAAGTTTCTGAGGATGGAGAGGAAGATTGTGAACCAGGTGCTGAAATCTTCAGTGAATGTTTGGAGGAAGGGATTATCAAAAGGACATTTATAAATGACAAGGTCAAGGAAGGAGAGTTGGTACTATAGCTGAATGCTGTGTGTGTCTCAAAGAGATGGAGTTTTTCAAGAGGGTTGGTGAGTAATGGTTAAGACATGGCATCGGGGAGTAAAGAGAACATTGATCCCATCTCTTTACCCTGAAATGTGAGAGAATAAGCAACTTTGTTACATGATAGTCCAGTCCAGAGAAGCAGCACTTAGGGGCAGGCTGGTTTCAGGTAAAATCATGAGGTAGAAGGAACACTTTGAAAAGTGGTTGGGGTCCGGCCAATGTGGCTCAGTGGTTGAGCGTCGACCCATGCACCAAGAGGTTGCCGGTTCGATTCCTGGTTAGGGCACATGCCCAGGTTGTGGACCTGATCCCCAGTGGGGGGCGTGCAGGAGGCGGCCAGTCGATGTTCTCTCTCATCAATGTTTCTATTTCTCCCTCTCCCTTTCTGTCTTTCTAAAATCAATAAAGAAAAAAAAAAAAAGAAGTGGTTGGGAATATCTATGGGGAAAATTGCTGATGAAATGGCAGTTTCATTTTCAAGACAGCAGCTGGAGTGATTGTTTGAAAATGCTAGTCTAATTATACCTCAGACCCTGCAGGATCAGGGAAGAGTAGAAGGATAGGTCATTGGCAAGGTGGTGCAGAACAGCATGGAGATCATACTGGGCTGAGGTTAGATGTGTTGAGAAGGTAATCTCGAAGTTAAAAATGGTGAAAACAGAGATCGTGGTGGAATTTATTTCTATGATCTCAGAGAGTGGGGGTTGTACACCAGGCCGGGTGGTCGGAGGACTCAGGTCACTCGGCCTGGGATGCTTCCAGTACCAGTCACCAAGATCTCTATGTGGTGCCTGGAATGGTGACATACGACGATGTGGTGTGGCTTACTTGAACAGCTGTATTGGTTATAATGCAGGGGTTAACGATACGAAGGATGGAGTTGTTCTAATGAGGTAAGTAGAGACCAGATTATATTAATGTTTTGTTCGTCTGAAGAGAGTGGTTTTGAAGAGAAGAGATGTCATTAGGCATTTTTAAGCAATCTCTCCAGCTGCTATAGGGAGCAAAAATGGATGTAGGACACTAGTTAGAAGTGATTGTAGAAGTCCAGGTGAGAGACGATAGCAATTTAAGCTGAAAGGTGAGAGTGAGGATAGAGAGGAGTGGACAGATCTAAGAGGACATTTATATAGCAAAAGGAAGTAGAGCCTTGGAAGAAGAGAACACTCTTCCAGAAGGCAAGAGTAAAATCAGCCCCTGAGCTTTAATAATGAAAAAAAGGAAGAGGTTTAGAAAGAAGGACAGATAACAATGTTGAATGAGACACTAGTACTATTTAGCACCTGTTACTTACCAGTCACTCGAATAGTTTTACCTGTGTAATCTTGTTTGATGCTTACAATAATCCTAAAATTTATTATTTCTATACTTGTATGATAAAACTGAGGCTCACAGAAACATGGCTATATGTACCAAATTCATGATTCTAAATCAAGTCTTAATTTTAAATTTCAGTATCTGCCATATTTTTTTAAATTTTCTAAGTGGCCATTGGTGACTCCCCATAAATTTAAAAACAGGTTTTTTGGGGGAGGGGCGGGGGGCATTTCTTTGATTATACATAGGGTGTAAGACAATGAGAAACAAAAATGTGAAAATGCTTCTTAGTCTTGAAGATAAACAGTAGAAGCTGTTATGTTGCAGCTGCTACTGATATGATAAAGTTAATGGAGAGAGTGATGATGATATGAAAAAGAATGTCATAAGCCTAGCAGTTCTTTGTTCTTTATCTATATTTTTATTACTAAGGGAATGAAAAATTGCAAGCAGCATCTGTTTTTCAACATGAACATTTCATTTTAATTCAAAGCTATATATAACTTGTCATACAATTTAAAAAATTCCGAGTAATGTTTTCAGTCTGAACTTTTGCAGTCTTTATTAATGACTTTTTTTTGAAAACTGTAATTTTCTCCTTTAGGTATTGGATCAGGAGTCAGTTTTCAGTTGAGCAACCAACATAAGTTCAACATTCTAATATTATATTCAACTACCAGGTAAGTCTTCCTACTTGGTGACTTACTTGAGACTTAGGACTGGGATATTTTAAGGGGAGGCAGCTTGTTTAGTGTCTGTTTATGTTTTATGTTTACATGTTTTGTTATAGAAAGGAAAGAGATAGAGCAAGAGAAGAGCAAACGAGTGCAGTTAACAAGATGTTCAGCATACAGAACGAAGGGGATGATCCACAAGGAGGCCGATACAGTGTAATTCCACAAATTCAGAAAGTGTGTGAAGTTGTTGATGGGTTCATCTATGTTGCAAATGCTGAAGCTCAGAAAAGTAAGCATTATCTTATTTTCTTTTTAAAAGTGCTTGCTTTGCAAAGCAAATTTTAAAAAGTATGTTTTTAGGCTTTACTGTGGCTTCTTAGGAGTAGGATGGTTAATTTTTATCAATGTGATTCTATGACCATTAGTTAATAGTGGGTTCTCAAACCTTGATGTGTATTAGGATCACTTGGGGAGCTTGTTAAAAATAACTGCTTTACCCTGGCCAGTTTTGCTCAGCGGTTAGAGCGTCAGCCTGCGGTCCGGAGAGACCTGGGTCTGGTTCCCGCTAAGGGCATGTACCTCGGTTGCAGTTTGTCCCTGGCCCTGGTTGGGTTGTGCGGGTGGCAGCCACTCAATGTGTCCCTTTCACGCCGATGTTTCTCTTTCTTTCTCGCTCTTCCTCTCTCTCCCTTCCACTCTGTCTGAACAGAAAATGGAAAAGTGTCCTCAAGTGAGGATAAAAAAAAAAACTGCTTGATTCCTACCTTGGTGGATTATGATTCATAGATTTGGATTGTGTCTTGGGCTTTGGTTTATTTTTAACAAGCACCTACAGAATTTTGATGCATACCAAAATTTGATACTATAACTATATGATATTAGTTTGATGTATGTTTCTGCACTTTTTGTTGCTGGGTTTTTTTGCTTCTGGTCCTATTCAAATAATTTATGCAGATAACTGAAAATTTTTACCTTGGTTTTAATTACCTTGATACAGAGATGTGTGGTGTGGAATGTTTACTTTAAATAGGTTAGATGAGAATACTCACCATATATTCTGAATAATTGCCATTCATGCTGTATAGGCATGAAATCAGAATATTTTGGGGCCAAAGTCAGTGTTGTAATTTTTTTCCTCAAATTCCTGTGAACAAGGTAGGGCATAAATATATAATACATTGTTCTCACTCAGAACAAGGTAGCAGCAACCCGTTCTGGAAGAAATTAAAGTTTATGGTACACTAAAGTTAACTATAACAGTAAAAGCCAAATCCAGCTTGACTCGTGACTAGTAATAGAAGAAACATGTCCATTTCCAAGAGTAAATTCTTTTTATCTCAGTCTCTACTGTTCTACATAAAACATCTAACATGAGATTAAAATTTTATAAGACACATAAAAAAAATCAAAATGAAATGACCCATTGTCAAGAGATAAAGCAATTGATGGAACCAGACCCAGAGATTGCCCGGATGTTGGCACTCTCAGAAAGGGACATTAAAAGAACTATGATTAATCTGTTAAAGGATTTAGTAGATAAGGTGGACAGTATGTGTGAACACAGGGATTTTCAGTAGAGAGCAGGAAGCTATGAAAGTACAATGGGAATGCTAAACATGGAAAATATAACAGGTGAATAGTTTCTTCAGTGGACTTACCAGCAAAGGAAACCTTTAGCTAACCTAAAGATAGCTCAGTTGAAATTATCCAAATTAAAACACACAGAGGAAAATGAGTAGGAGTGGGGATCAGAGCATCCAAGAGCTGGTGAACCTATCAAGTGATCTAACTCAAGGGAAAGCTAACTTTTTTGAAAGGCCAGATATTAAATATTTTAGGCATAAGAGGCATATGATCTCTCACAGTTACTCAGCTCTACTGTCACAGTGCAAAAGTAGCCATAGACAGTTTGTAAATTAATGGACATGGCTGTTTTCCAAGGTAATTTTATTTATAAAGACAGATCCACAGAATGTAATATGCCAACCCCTGGTCTAACGTATGTGTATAATTGGAATACCAAAACATGAAGGGAGTAAGACAGGGAAAAAGAAAATTTTGAACAGATGATGGCCTAAATTATTTCAAAATTACTGAAAGACAATAAGCCATAGATCCAAGATGCTCAGAGAACTCCAACCTAATAAATAAAAAACACATCTAGATATATCCTAGTCGAACTATGAAACCAGAGGTAAACAGAATATCTTGAAGGCAGCCAGAGCAAAAGGAAAGATACATATAGAGGGCCAACGATAAGGACAGGCTCCCTGGTGGAATGCAAGCTAAAAGACAATGAAGGGGAATCTGTACCGTATTGCCAAGAGGAGGAAACCTTATATCCAGCAAAGAAATGTTTTAAAAATGAAGGTAAAATCAAGGCTTTTTCAGACAAACAAAACTAGTGAGAATTCATTATCAGTAGATTTACACTAAAAAATATTAAAGGAACCTCTTTAGGCAGAAGAATATACCAGATGGAAAATTGCATCTACAACAAGAAATCAAGAACACTGTAATGAAAACTATAAATCTATATATAAAAATTTTTTTTTTTTATCCTCACCTGAGGACATTTTTCCATTTTTTGTTCAGATAGAGTGGGAGGGAAAGAGAGGGAGGGAGGGAGAGAGAGAGAGAGAGAGAAACATCGACGTGAAAGGGACACATCGAGTGGCTGCCACCTGCACAACCCAACCAGGGCCGGGGACAAACTGCAACCGAGGTACGTGCCCTTAGCGGGAACCAAACCCGAGTCTCTCCGGACCGCAGGCCAATGCTCTAACCGCTGAGCCAAACCGGCCAGGGATATAAAAATTTTTTTTTAATTTTAATTTTCTTATAATTATGTAAAAGAAAATAGTAACACTGTATTGTGGGTAAATGATATTTTGTTGTTGTTAATCCTCATCCAAGGGTATTTTTCCATTGATTTTTTTTTTTTTAATTTAAATTTTTGTCCCCCCAGAGAGTAGAAGGGAGGGAAGGAGTGAGGGAGGAGAGAGACAGAGAGAGAAACATCAATGCAAGAGTGACACATCTATTGGTTGCCTCCCGCACTACCCTGATTGGGGCAGGGGACCAAACTTGCAACTCATATATGTGCCCTGGACCGGGAATCGAACCTGTGCCCCTTTGGTCTGCAGGCCAGTGCCCTAACCGCTGAACCAAACCAGCCAGGGCTGATTCTTTTTTCTAGAGAGAGTGGAAGGGAGGGAGGGAGAGAGAGACAGAGACAGAGACAGAGACATCAACGTGAGAGAGACATATTGCTGGTTGTCTCCTGCACCATCCCGAACAGGGCCAGGAATCGAACCTGCAACTCAGGTACTACTTGTCCTTGATCAGAATCGAACCTACAACCCTTTGGTCTACAGGCTGACGCTCTAACCACTGAACCAAACTGGCCAGGGCAGTATATGATATTTTTAAGTAAAATATAACAATACAACATCATGGAAGGGAGAAAATGGACATATGCTATTGTAATAGTCTTCTATATGTGAAATTGTATAATACTATTTAAAGGTAGACTGTTATAAATTAAAAATGTACATTGTAAATCTTTGAGCAATCTCTAAAAGAAGTGTAACAGAGGTATAATTAAATAAGCCAGTAGTGAAGATAAAATAGAATCATTAAAAAAACCTCAGTCCAAAAGAAGGCATAAGAGAGACAAAGAAACAAAGAACAGGTGGAACAAGTCAAAATCCAAGAGGTATATGATAGATTTAAATGTCATGTTAATAAATTCATTAAATATTTGTTTTCTATTAGGACATAACAAATTACCTCTAACCTAGGGACTTAAAATAACTCATTTATTAGCTCACAGCTCTCTTGTTAGAAGTCTGAAAATGGCATGACTTGGTTCTCAGCTTAGGATCTCATAGGCTGAAATTAGGGTATCAGATTGGTTTGCATCCCTTTATGGAGGCTCTGGGGAAAATCTGCTTCCTAGCTCACTCAAGTTATCGGCTGAATTCAGTTTTATGTTGTAGAACTGAGGTCCCCATTTCCTTGCTGGCTGTTAGCTGGAGGCTGCTCTCACCTAGAGGCCATCTTCATTCCTTGTTAGACTCCATCTCTTCAAATCCAGCAGGGGAGAATCTCACCTGGAAGACGTCATCTCTTTTAAGGGCTCACCTGTGTACGTCAGGCTCACTGAGGTGATATCTCTAACAGGACAATATACCCTAATGATGGCAGTGATATCCCATTATATTTGTAGGTTCTTTCCACTCACAGAGGAAGGAATTATACAAGGATGCGAGTCATTGGGGATCACCTTAAAATTCTGCCTACTACAAAATGTCAGTGATTTCTATACTCCAGTGAAAGGCAGAGGTTGTTAGTTTGCATAAAAAAGCTAAACCCAACTATATGTTTGAATTTTTGAAATTAGAGACTTTGAAAGAAAGAGTAGTGGTAGCTACAGAATTTGTGAGAGGGCAGTATCTATATCAAAGTATTTTTCTTTTAAACCATAGAGACATCTGAATGGGATTATGATTTTTTTCCTCTCCGATTTCACCTCAATACCTGTCCTTGCAGTGCTACTTGAATGTAATTTTATTACATTAATAAATGAACAAAGCAGTAGAGGCAGTTAGTAATGTTTGGATTCCGGTAATTTTTGGCTTCCTTGTTTTGTTAGTTTTAATTTAATTTTATTATTTTAGAAATCATTGCAACTAATGCAAATTAAGAGTTTTTACTTCATTCCTTAGGACATGAATGGCAAGATGAATTTTCTCGCATTATGGCAATGACAGATCCAGCTTTTGGATCATCAGGAAGACCAATGCTGGTGTTATCTTGTATTTCTCAAGCAAATGTAAAAAGAATGCCCTGTTTTTATTTGGCGCATGAGCTGCATCTGAATCACCTAAACCACCCATGGATGGTAAGGTCCTATCTTCTCTGGTGAGGAACATCTTACTGTATTTTTCACTGTTTTTTATTTGGTTTTATTCTTTCCAACTCATTGTCTTGAATTAAACAGAACAGTATTCTAAAGTCAATTTTAATAGCTTAAGTGATGGGAGATATTTGGTTGGTATCAACGAGTCTCAGCTGATCATTTGGTCCCTACTTGCCTCTTCTGTCATGGATACAGTGAGACAGTAATTGGGAATTGTTTTTTTTTTTAGATGCCACTGTCATGGTTTCTTCAGCATTAATGTATTGTGTTTTAAGGACCATCGAAAGTGTAGATTCCATCTTATAGTTTCTTGCTCTACAGTCTTTATTTTAACCACGAGTCTTCTTCAAATGAAATCTTACTTAAGCCCCTTAAGCAAAATAAAGAAAAAATTAATATTAGAAATGCTTTTGCTGAAAAGTTAGAGGATTTTTTTCCTTCCTTTCTCTCTTTATCCCTTCCAAGAAGCCCTGGAAACGAATACAATTTGAAAGCTACGAATAAGGTGCACCTTCCTGAGTGGGGGGAATTTTAGCTCACCATTCCTTAGGAGGAGTGACAGTCTTAAAGACACACTTTTGAAACAAGATGTCACATTTATCAGTTGACTAACTGGGATCATTCAAAAATGTTTTAGTTTTCAAAGGATCTTTTGGAGGAACTTTTTTCTAATACAAACAAATCTTGGAAATGCTAGATCTTCCCATCCCCAAGGATAAGTAATAAGCTTCATATTGGTAATAATTGTATGATATTAAAGATTTTATCTAAGCTCTCTAGAAGACAAAACTTGAGTTGACTCATCCAAAGTTTATGGGAATTTTTTTCGTCCTTTTTTTGGTGTCTAGAAAAATGTCCCTCATATCATGAGATGTTGGACTCAGTTTCTTACTGATAGTGGTCTCTCTTATCTGCTCCTAGGTCCAGGACACAGAGGCTGAAACTCTAACAGGTTTTCTGAATGGCATTCAGTGGATTCTTGAAGAAGTGGAGTCTAAGCATGCAAGATGATCCTTCTTTTAGATCTTGGAACTGAAACCATTTGAAACTTGCTACTGAGGTTATGATGTGATTATTTGCTCAGTCAGCTCATTTTGTCCTGCCTTTATGCAGGTAGGCTTTTTATTGGACAGCTGTAGCTGCTGTGTTTTCAAGATAATTTTTAGTTTTTCCCGGAAATCAATTACAAGAAAAAGTTTCAGTGTAAGCAGTTAGCTCCACAATGAACCTTTTAAGATTTTTTTGATAATTTTTATATTTTCTCTCTTTTTAAAAATATTAAATTCTGGAAAAAACAAGTTTTTGCCTTCCTCATTCCTTGTGGTTTCTGTTCTTTTCAGTTCAAAGATTGCCGTAGAGGGGAATAGTAAATTTGCCAAGTTTTCTATAGGTTCTTTTCAAGGGTCCTCAATGGGTTATTAGAAAAGAGGTTTTTGTCTATTTTTAATGAATATACTGCTTAAAGATAGGAATATTCTGGAACCTTATTTAATATTATGGTCATACAACTTCTTTTCTGAAACAGTGGAAATTAACTTTATAACGTATTTAATACTAATTCAGTAAAAATAACTTTTGCTAGAAATTCTTGATATTTTCAAATAACTTTGAAAGCTCATAAGGTACTAGCCAAATTTTATTTCATACTCAGAAAGCACTCCAGAGATTCACATGATCATGTGACCTCCTCCTCACGAATTGCTTGTGCTTTGCAGAGGAAACATTAGTCTTCCTTTCTCATTGGAGACAGGAATTTTAGGGTTATAGTTCAGAGAGCATAGTACGCATTCTTAGTGATTCTGTCTCCAGGATATAGCCTTTGCCCCTTGAGGGAGTGCTGTTCCAAAGAAGGGAGGCCCCACACCTCAGGCATGCGCATTCAGAGCTCAGCTCCAGCAACACATAGTTGGGGGCAGGAGGAGACATGCTGACTATCCTGCTTCTCCAGGACGAAGTGGAGAGGGGATCCTGGTTCCCTGACTGCCCCGGGCAGGCTGCAGACTCATCTTGCTGAGTTGGAGGAGGGGAGAAAAGAGGGGGTCTTGGTTCAACTCCCACAGACGCCTGCTGTTCTGAGTTTTGTTTATTTTTAATAAATGTTTCTTAATTTGCTGTGTGCTCCTAGTACCATTTACTGAGACTGGTTTTTTTTGTTGTTGTTGTTTTTTGTTTTTTTATCCTCACCTGAGGACATTTTTGCATTTATCTTCCGATAGAGCGTGAGGGAGAGAGGGAGGAAGAGAGAGAGAAACATTGATGTGAGACAGACACATCGAGTCGTTACCACCCACACGACCCAACCAGGGCCGGGGACAAACTGCAACCGATGTATGTGCCCTTAGCAGGAACTGAACCCGTGTCTCTGGTCCCCGGGCCGACGCTTTAACCGCTGAGCCAAACTGGCCAGGGTGAGACTGTTGTTTTTTAAAATAATCTTGGGTTTTTCTAGAGAGTCATTCTAGGTAGCGCCTCATGTTAGGCCAAAAGTGGATCCTCTTGTTTCCTTTGAATATGTACAGTTGTGTTACCTCATTCATTCCTGATACTGGCATTCTCGAAGAGCCAGCTGTAGGTTTTATTAATTCATTCTGTATTCTCTTTCCTTGGTTTATGCGCTAATCTTTATTTATTTTTTTTCCCAATTTTTATTTTATTTTTTCTAATTTATTGAGGTAGAAACTTAAGTCATTGATCCTAGTTCTCTTTTTTTTTAAAAAGGTACCTGTAATAGAGTCAACAGTAAAAAATAAAAAGTAAAAAGACTTTTAAAGCTATAAGTTTTTTCTAAGCCCTCTTTAACTGTATCCACACATTTTGATATATTGTATATTTGTTATTACTCAGTTAAAATATTTTCTAATCCCTTGTGATTATTTTTTTAACCCATGAATTATTTAGTATTATTGTCTTAGTTGTCTTTGTTTTCTAGGTATTTTATTGTTATTGATATCTAACTCAATTCTCTATCAGAGAACATACTCTAAAATTTCAGTCTTTGAATGTGTTGAGACTTTGTGTTCAGTCTTTGAATGTATATGACTCAGCTTTGGTCTATGTGTCCATGTACCACATACACTTGAAAAGAGTTTATATCCTTATAGTTATTAGGTGGAATTTTTTATAGCTAGTTGGTAATGTTCAGATATTCTATGTGGGCTACATTGATTTTTGCATAGTTTTATCACTCATTAGAGAGAAGCATTAAAATCTCCTACTATGATTATGGAACTGTGTATTTTTCCTTTATTTTTTATTTTGTTAATTAAATTTATTGGGGTGACATTGGTTAACAAGATCATATAGGTTTCAAGTGTATATTACTAGGATACATGATCTGGGTATCAAATCATCTACTGTCATCATATATTTGGCACCCTTTACCCTTTACTGTCCCTTACCCCTTCCCTATAGTAACCACCATATGTTACCTATGACCATGAGTTTCAGTTTTATATCTCACATGAGTGAAATCATATGGTTCTTAGCTTTTTCTGACTGACTCGCTTAGCATAATAGTCTCAAGGTCAACTCATATTGGCACAAACGGTAGTATTTCATCTTTTTTTTTTTTGTTAATCCTCACCCAAGGATATTATTTTCCCATTCATTTTTAGATGGGGGAAAGGGGTAGAAACATCAATGTGAGAGAGACACATCCATTGGTTGCCTCCCACACGACTCCAAGCAGAGGCCAGGGATTCAACCAGCAAGCCAGGTACGTGCCCTTGACCAGGAATCAAACCTGAGACCCTTCTGTCTGAAGACTGATGCTGTAACCACTGAGTCAAACTGGCCAGGTTAGTATTTTATCTTTTATGACTGATTACTATTCCATAGTGTATGTGTGTATATATATCAATCTTTATCCAGTCCTCTATCAAAGAACACTTCCGTTGTCTCCGTGTCTTGGCCATCGTGAATAATGCTGCAATGAACATAGGGAAGCATACTGTATATCTTTTTTACAATTTTTTTCTTTATTGATGTTAGAGAGAGAGAGAGAAAAACGTTGATGAGACAGAACATTGATTGGCTGCCTTCTGCATGCTGCCCCTCACTGGGGATTGGGCCCACAACCTAGGCCTGTGCCCTGATCGGGAATCGAGCCTGTGACCGCTTGGTGCATGGGTTGATGCTCAACTACTGAGCCACACTGGCTGGGAAGGGCTGCTTATATCTTTACAAATAAAGGTATTCAAGTTTTTCAGGTAAATACTCAGAAGAAGGGTTGCTGGGTCATATGGTAACTCCATTCTTAATTTTTTGAGGAACTGCTAGACTGTTTTCCATAGTGGCTGCACCAGTTTACATTCCCACAATCCGTGAGCGAGGGTTTCTTTTTCTCCACAACCTCTCCAACACTTGTTATTACCTGTCTTGTTGATAAAAGCCATTTTAGCAGGTGCGAGGTTGTATCTCATTGTAGCTTTGATTTTCATTTCCCTAATAGCTAGTGAAGTTGGGCATCTTTTCATACATCTGTTGGCCATTTATATTTCTTCTTGGGAGAAGTAACTGTTCAGGTCCTCTACCCATTTTTTTAAAAAATATGTTTTTATTGATTTTTTTTGAGAGAGAGGAAGGGAGAGAGAAACATCTATCAGCTGCCGCCTCCTGCATGCCCCCTACTGGGGATCAGGCCAGCAACCTGGGCATGTGCCCTGACTGGGAATTGCCCTGTCTCTACCTATTTAAAAAAAAAAAATTGTTGATTTTAGAGAGAGGAAAGGAGAGGGAGAGAGAGAGAAAAATCAATGGGAGTGAACATCAATTGGCCGCCTTGTAGGGGATTTGGCCTATAACCCGGGCATGTGCCCTGACCGGGAATCGAACCGGTACCTCTCAGTCCATGAGATCATGCTCAATTCACTGAGCCACACTGGCTGGGCAGGCTCTTAATTTTTCACAGGAGTTTTAATTAAAATAGAAATTTGGCAAAGGAACCTTTAATTTTTCTGTTTGCCATGATTAGCATAATCTGTTTTATACCAACGTACCTCAAAGATCATTTTTATTTCCTTCTTTCTTCTTACTGCTTTTCTGCATCTTATTTAAGGAAAACACAAGAGTTATAGGTGAAACAATTTGTCTCTCCTTTAATGCACTTATTAAGATAAATCCCATAATTTTATTTTCTGACTTTTATTTTAATCCTCACCCGAGGACATTTTTGCATTTATCTTCAGAGAGAGCGGGAGGGAGAAAGGGAGGAAAAGAGAGAGAGAAATATCGATGTGAGAGAGACACATCGAGTGACTGCCACCCACATGACCCCAACCTGGGCCAGGGACAAACCGTAACAGAGGTACGTGCCCTTAGTGGGAAATGAACCCAGATTCTCAGGTCTGTGTGCTGACACTCCCGGCCAGGGCTTCTGACATATTTTTAATAGAGAAAAATACTGTATCAACACATTTGTTAATGGTTATTTAGTTCCTATTTGGGTCTAGGAACTATATATCAATGATGACATAAGAACAAGATTTTGTATTTGTTTTGTGTTTTGTCTTGTTTTAATGTAAGGGAATGTAAAAGTACAAAGTCTTAGCTTATGTTTTAAACTAACACAAGACTATCTTAAATTCTGAGAACTATGACAGTGCTATCCCTAGATTTCCGAAGGCAGTACATGCTACATACAGAAAGATGATTTGTGACAAAAAACTTATATCTATAGCTATTTCAACCTAACTTTTACAATTTTGATCAAATGGGATTTTTCAATAGCATTTTCTAAAGTGTATTCTAAAGTATAGTACTTTTCTTCATAACTGAGTCAACAGTAGTTCCTAATGGAATGAATAAAATGAAGCAGGACTTCAGAGAATCTTTAACATGCTGATATAATATGAATAAAGAAGGTCATTTACTGTGGGGCACTTCTCATATTCATTTTACTTATTTAATGATTTATGTCTCTATTTTTATGGTTTCTGTCTTTTGCTAAAGTTCTCAGAGTTCATCAAGCATCCTTCTAACCAGTGTTTTGAACTCTGCATCTGGTAATTGTTTGCCTCCATTTTGTGTGTCTTTTTCTGGAGGTTTGTTCTTTGATTTGAGACATGTTCTTTGTGTCCTCATTGTGTCTGTCTCCCTGCGTCTGTTTCTCTGTGTAGGTAGAGCTGCTGCGCCTCCCGGTCCTGGTAGAGTGGCCTTGTGCAGTAGAGGTGCAGTAGGCCCAGTGGCCAGCCTCCCGGATAACCTGAGCTGGGTGCGCCAGCTGCACTCTCACCCCCGGGTGCACTGTGCACCCTCCTGTTGTAGTTGAGCTTTGATTGCTGTCAATGGAAGGGACCCA